TGACAGGCAATATGCACATTGGAACCAGGAACATCAAATATTATCGGCAGGTTGCCCTGGAGCTCTACGTCTCTGATGAGCAGTCACCGGCCACATCGACCTGATCAGTGGTTGATTGTTGTGTCTTGTTGCTTTTCTTCTTTTCTCTCTCCTCTATCCACTCACCCCAAGCGGTCGAGGCAGAAAGCCGCCCACCAAGAGCCGGGGTCTGTTGGAGGTTTCTTCTGTTAAAGGGACTTTTTCCTCCCCAGTGTTTTCAAGTGCTTGCTCAAGGGGGATTTGTTGGGTTTTCCCCTTTGTAATAATATTGATAACAGTAAGGTCTAGACCTTACTTTGTAAAGCGTCCTGAGATGACTTTTGTTGTGATTTGGCGCTATACAAATAAAATTTGAATTTGACATATAAATCTGGCTTCAGCTAGGTGATGGGGAAAGTGGATATGTGAGGTTTGGGGACAGTGTAGACAACACACAATATGGCAACAAGTGAATTTCCCTTTGTAGATCAGTAAGGTCTTATTTGAATTTCAGCTGTCTGACTGGAATAGCTTTACTGTTTCTGTGTGCTCTGGTTCCCTGCAGGTCCAGCTGAGATAGGATTAGTTTTACAGAAACATCCGTTTGACACCAAAAGGCCCCATAATAATACTTTGTCTCACCTGAGCAGCTGCTGTGTGTGATGGAGAAACTCTTTCATCCTCTAAAGTGGTTCCTTTGACTTAATTAGATGGTGGTGCTCCAGAATCCATGAGACAATACACATGCTCGTGCATGCACACACATGCACAGCTGCTCAGGTGGTGCTTCCACACTTAAATACAAATACTAGTGTGTGTGTGTGTGTGTGTGTGTGTGTGTGTGTGTGTGTGTGTGTGTGTGTGTGGGGTGGGCGTCAAGACTCGCCCCAGAACGCTACAGTATTATAAGTCAAAATGATCAGGAACCACTGGTTCAGTCTGTGACACTGCATTGTTTATGTGTGTTGTATGTAAAATATTCATCTGAAGAGCAGGGGCAGAATGTAATTTTCCATTTTATGCTACTTTACACTTCTATTTTACTATATTTCTATTTCACTACACTTCTACTACATTTATTCATAACAGAGTACTTTCCACTCTGGTGGTTTCCACTTCTTCTACTTAAGTACTGGATCTCGGCACTGGCTCCATCACTGCTTCTAGCAGCACAGGTCACTGATTCACTTCTCTTAAACCTGTGTTTTAAGTGATGGTTGAAATACAGTAGCATCCGACGTCTGACGTCCGTACGTCTCCTCTTGACGTCAGCACGGTAGGAAGTACGTTACTGCAGCCAGACAGGCCGTGAGGATGCGGGGCTGTCAGTGTAGACGACAGTGTTCATTATGATAATATCTAACAGTGACTTTCCAGTGACATTATGCACATTTCGGTCGCCTGACACGTGATGTAACTGGGATGCTTGTAGCTAGCTAGCTGTTAGCTTAGTTAGCTGTCATCCTCCCAGCTACAGTCAGAGCTCCAGCAGGCGGCCAGCGGCTCAGCTGATCAGCTGCAGCACCACACACAACCCGGCGACAAGATGAGGAGGCCTTAATGTCAGGTCGTCGACGGTGTGTTCAGACGTCAAATACAGGTACTGTCTTTTACTTATTGTCAGGCACTAGTTGTTATTATCCCAGTGCCGTGCGCACACACCTGGATAGGAGGGCGAAACAAATAGACAACACCCTGACCATAATGTGTGATCCAGGTGGAGCACAGAGGAGACGTCTGGACCTGGAGGGCGCACATGTTCACTCTCATGAACCAGTCACAGTTAAATACAGTACTTCAGTATGGTACTTAACAGTATTGTGTTGAAGTACTGGTACTTTAGTCTTTTTATTTTCTGCTACTTTATACTTCTACTCCACATTTCAGACAGTATCTGTGCTTCTGACTGCAAAGATGATGCTATAAATTAAACTGTCCCACAGCATGCAGCTGAATGTAAATAAGCTGACAGAAACTTAATTGGACAAACTATGGCGACACACTTCTCAATTACAAACCCAATTTGGCATTTTTGTACTGGCCAATATGTACATTACACCAATAACAGTACATATATCTGCAATAAGCTAATATCTGCCGATGTATCATCAGACCGATTTATCAGCCTGGCTCTAAAATAAATACCAGTTACAATATCCTACAGCCTAAGTCATCGAATCATTGTTTTGACAGAACAAAGTTTAAAACTGAAAAATATTTAATTTACTTTTGATGTAAGGTGGAGAAAGCAGGAAATTCACATGTTTAAGTAGCTGAAGTCGTCAAATGTTTGTGTGATTTATCAAAATAGCTGTTGGATAAGTTCCTGTCCATCGACCAGTCAACATTACAGGTCCATGTCACATCTAGAGAGTATTAGGGAGGCGACAGTGGTGCAGTGGGTAGAACAGTCGTCTCCCAACTGGAAGCTTAAAGGGTCGAATCTTGGTTCCTGCAGTCGAAGTGTCCTTAGGCAAGACACTGAACCCCCAGTTTCCCCTGATGGTTAGAGCCATCGGTTGAGTTGGCACCACAAATGGCTGCCTCGGTTCTGTACCGGAAACAAATTCCTTGTGTGTAACATACTTGGCCAAATAAAGGTGATTATCCTATTATTATGTTTCAGCTGTTGTCTCTGAGTGTCTGAGATGCCCTGCTACTGGTTGCTACTGATGTTTACTGTCACCCACAGAGATGGCGTCCCAGCTCCAGGTGTTCTCCTCTCCCTCCGTGTCCTCCAGTGCCTACTCTCGCTCAAAGAGGTTCAAAGTAGAGAACCCTGCCTGGGATGCGTCCAACCAGCCGGGAGACAGTTACTACCAGCATAGCCCCACCCAAGCAGCTGCACCCTCCACTTCTGGCTCCAACTTCAACCCAGTGTACAACTCCAACCAGGTGCACCCACCGACTGCAGGCTCTCGGGAGCAGACAGTGGTGCGGGCAGCAGACAGCACAGGTAGCTTTCATGGGCCTCGCTCCTCCTCTTCCTCCTCCTCTTCCTCCAGCCGTCGCGTTAAGGATGCACAGTCCTCCTCGCAGCCATGCAACCTCTACCACAAGCAGTACAGCTTGAAGCGCAAGAGCGAGGAGGTGGACAGCAGCGACAGCGTCCAGATACTGGAGGAGCTCTCGGCCCCCGTGGTCTCAAACCGCACCGGTGGTGGAGGGGGAACCACCACAGCTCAGTCCATAGCACATTCCACTTCTACCACAAAGAGCAGCAACTCCCACAGTGAGGGCGACTACCAGCTGGTCCAGCATGAGATTCTGTGCTCAATGTCCAACAGTTACGAGGTGCTTGAGTTCCTGGGACGCGGCACCTTTGGCCAGGTGGCAAAATGCTGGAAGCGGGGCACAAATGAGATAGTGGCGATTAAGATCTTGAAGAACCATCCTTCTTATGCTCGGCAAGGTCAAATAGAAGTGAGTGTCATGTTATAAAGAATAATACCTCCAGCTCTTGTCACTCTTTAACCTTTAGGAGCTGATTCACAGATAAGCCGCTGCTTCTAAGCCAGAATGTGTTGATGTTTTCCTCAGTGTCACAATGATCAAGTGACAAGAAACAGAAAGTAGTAAGAGCTAATTCAGCATGAATAATGGTGCACATTTAGCAAAATATCAACAAATAGAAGCCTAAAAATTTGACCTCTAGCTCAGTGTTTGCATTTCCCAAAGCATTATGGGAACTGTAGTAAAAAAAAACTCTTTCTCGCTAATTATGTCAACTAAGTTAGACAAAGAATAACAATAACTTTATCAATAGATTAGAGTGAAATGTCTTGACAAATATTGAAATATTAAAGCAAAACTGTGAAAAGTGCACACATGCAACCCACATTGGGTACAGGTGTAGAACAAAATGTCCAGCTGAGAACAAAAAAGAGAAAGATTGTCCACACACGGAAATAAGCAAACTCCTGAAGAATATATTTATTACATAGTGGTGCAGCATTTTGACCAACATGGTCTTCATCAGGCAGATGTTCATATGAGCACAATACAGCTACATACAGTGAGGTGATAACGGCCTCACCCACAATTAAGAGGGCAACGTCCTGACGCAACGTTATGAAGCAACGTCAATAACAATGAGAAATAAAAACAACCACTATAAAGACCCAGGGTCATATATTCTCATGTAGGTTCATACAGCAATAGTCTTATTATCATCATCATGGTAAGTCAGCAATAAAAATGTACTTTTCAAGAGCTCATTTAATTCAGTGTGTGAACAGCTTCATGTTCCCCTCAGGATGAATTCTAATAATTCTGATTGTTATTAGGCATCATCATCAGGCGATATTTTAATTTCTCTAATATTTTTGGTTCATGACCAGATGTATGCAAGACATTCCCATCAGCTAATTAGTAAATGCTGCCATGCCAGCACACTGAAATATGTTGGTGAACATGGTCGGCATTATACCTCTATAACATCAGCATGTTAGCATGCTGAGGTTAGCATTTAGCTCTAGGTGCAGCCTTACAGAAATACAGGCATGGATGTCGGCTCTTGTTTTGACATTTGACATATATTTATATATACAGATGTTTGCCCTGTTGAAAACGTGGATATAGTAGCAAAAACCTCAATCAAATCAAATCAAATCAAATTTTATTTGTATAGCGCCAAATTACAACAAAAGTCATCTCAGGACACTTTACAAACTAAGGTCTAGACCTTAAGGTTATCACTATTATTACATAGGGAAAACCCAACAAATCCCCCTTGAGCAAGCACTTGGTGACAGTGGGGAGGAAAAACTTCCTTTAATGGAAGAAACCTCCGACAGACCCCGGCTCTTGGTGGGCAGCCTTCTGCCTCGACCGGTTGGGGTGAGTGGATAGAGGAGAGACAAAAGAAGAAAAGCAACAAGACACAACAAACAATCAAACACTGGTCAGGTCGATGTGGCTGGTGACTGCTCGTCAGAGATGTAGAGCTCCAGGGCCAGGGCAACCTGTAGAAAGGTACAGGGAGAGAGAGAGGACACACATACTCAATATACTTAATGTACTGTATGTAGGTCTGCTGAGGGCTATCTGGTGTTTTCTCTGGTATTATCCATTGCTGCATATCTTCACCTCCATCTCTCTCCTCTCTGTAGGTGAGCATCCTTAGCAGGCTGAGCACGGAGAACGCTAACGAGTTCAACTTTGTCCGCTCATACGAGTGTTTTCAGCACAAGAACCACACGTGCCTTGTGTTTGAGATGCTGGAGCAGAACCTTTACGACTTCTTGAAGCACAGCAAGTTCAGCCCTCTGCTGCTCAAGTGTATTCGGCCTATTCTGCAGCAGGTCGCCACAGCCTTGATGAAGCTGAAAAGCCTGGGGCTGATCCATGCTGACCTGAAGCCTGAAAACATTATGTTGGTGGACCCTCTTAGACAGCCATACAGAGTGAAAGTCATTGATTTTGGCTCTGCCAGCCATGTGTCCAAAGCGGTTTGTTCCACCTACCTGCAGTCACGATACTACAGGTGAGTATGCGCAGTAAGGGGTTTCATATTGTGTCTGTAACGTGTAAATTACCTGCTGGGATCTTATCATTTACCGTTTTGACATGCCTGCAGAGCTCCAGAGATAATTCTGGGCCTCCCTTTCTGTGAAGCAATCGACATGTGGTCTTTGGGATGTGTCATTGCTGAGCTGTTTTTGGGATGGCCCCTCTACCCTGGTGCCTCAGAGTATGATCAGGTCAGCCACAGCACTCTCATATACAGTATATTATATAAATGTACCCTATAGTAACAGTTATGTTCCGTTTTATTAGGAAGCAGTAGTAACTCAACATAAACATTATTTAAAACAGCTCACATAGTTTTTAAAGGAATGGCTGAAATTTGGGGAAATTCACTCACACTATTGCATTTGTCTCTCTCAGATTCGTTACATTTCCCAGACCCAGGGCCTTCCAGCAGAGTACCTGCTGAGTGCAGGAACCAAGACCAGCCGCTTTTTCAACCGGGGTCCTGATGCAAGCTACCCCCTGTGGAGACTGAAAGTAAGTGGGTCTGCAGAGAACAAACACACAAAGTATCTATTATAATCATATACAGTACACACACTGAGGTCTTGCTGTGGTTGTTTTCCTGCAGACACCTGCAGAGCATGAGGCAGAGATGGGGATCAAGTCGAAGGAAGCAAGAAAATACATCTTCAACTGTCTTGATGATATGATGCAGGTGAGGAGGTAACCTGTACCCTGGTTATTCACATGATGCATTTTGACGAACACTGACTTCCTTTCTTTTTACTGCAGGTGAACATGACCAGTCTGGAGGGGACGGATATCTTGGCAGAGAAGGCCGACAGACGGGAGTTCATAGACCTGCTGAAGAAGATGCTGACGCTAGACGCAGACAAACGGATCACACCCATGAAGACACTAAACCACCCCTTTGTTACCATGACACACCTGCTGCACTTCCCTCACAGCTCACAGTAAGACAGCAAGTCTACGACTGTCCTGATGCTCAGCTGCAGAAGCTTTTAATAAACTATCAGTAGAGGTTTTGAATTCTTTATAGTTGTTACAATATGTCGTGGTTGCTGCAGATTAACATTGAATTTTGTATCCATGATTCTACCTGTCCTGTTTTTACCTGTCCAGTGTGAAGTCCTGCTTCCAAAATATGGATATATGCAAACGCAGATGCAGCGCCTTTGAGAATGGGAAGAATATGTTTGCCAGCAACAATACCCCGAGTGCAGCCACCAACCTCACTGTAACCTTCAGTAGCCAACTCAACCAGCACAATCAGGTGAGAATATCGTAGAATCTACATATGTGACTTTATCAACCCTGTTAACATTTTACTTGGAACTAGAAGTGGTGGTAATGAGAGAGAGAGAGAGAGAGAGAGAGAGAGAGAGAGAGAGAGAGAGAGACTCATGGCATGAACTTGCTACTGCATGGCTTTATTTCACAGTGTTTATTCAGTGCAGACACCAACAGCTCCCAGTTGACCAGGGCCATCTAGAGACCCAGAAGGCCAATGGCATTAAACTGCACTGATGCTTTAATACATTACAAATATGATCTTCTATCTGCTTCTGGGTTGTTATGCTCCGCCTGACGTTTTGCTTGTTGATCCAGTTTTTACTTGTTCTTAGTTATATCAGTAGCTCTGTAATGTGATGACCATTCATTGCCATTGATTTAACTAGGACAGATCATCATCCCTTAAGCATTAAATACAGTGTTTTCTGCATGCTGTGTGTTACAGATGGCCTCTACAGGAGGCCAGTCCCTGTCCCTCAGCAGTAACGTCCCTTTGCTGAACTACCAGCCTGGCCTCTACCAGCAGGCCACCATTAACATCCCTGGCCTGGCCCAGCAGAGTGTCCCCCTGCAGACCAGACCCACCCAGCTCTGTGCCCAGACTGAACCCTTCCAGCAGACGCTCATAGTTTGCCCCCCCACCATACAGGGTGAGAATGAAAGATAATACTTGAGATCATTTTTAAGTCTTTACATTTTACATACCACAAGGCAAAGGGTTAAAAACATTTTAATAACTGGTTTTGTGCATCTTCAGGATGCACGCGTTTATTATGCAATACACTAGTATTAATAGTTGATTATTCATATGGAAGGCCACACCTTCATCAGTCTTCAGAGCCCCATCAAGAGGAGCACCATTTTCCAAAAAAGTCTCTCTTTTTTTTCCTCATCCAAGCAAAACAGATATTTAGTAGCTCGACACAGTATCTGCATTGTATTTGCTCAGGTTAAGCAGTGACTTGGTAGTTGCTTGGTAGGCAGTCATATCTGAGAGCCGGGCCCGCTCAGTTGTCCAACCACTGACACTGTTCGATCAAAAGAAAAATACACCACTTAATACAATATACATACACATCTTAATACACTTAATAAGATCTGGATGGATGGAAATCTGCCTCTGTCTTCTAGGTCTTCAAACCTCCAACAAGCCCTCTGCTTATCCAGTGAGGATGGACAACTCAGTACCCTTAGTTCCTCAGAACCAGTCGTCCCAGTCTCTTCACATCCAGCCCGGCATGCTGGCACAGGTACGATCCACTGCATGACCACTTGGGTTGGGATTTGATGCATGTTATTGAATCTGAATTCAGAATCAGAGACAACAGATTTGAAACTTTCCACCAGAGAACTCAGTAAGACACTGATTTTTATTTACTGTTGTAATCCTTAAGATTTCACTTCTGGTGGTGACGCCCACAGTAACTGGTGATAACCAGCAGAAGAGCAGCTGCTGTGCCTGTTTAGAGTGAAACAAACTTAAGTTCATTTCATAAAAAAGGCAGTCAAAACAGTAATAATGGTCACTCACACTCTTTTCCTGTCACCTCGTCCGACTCCTCTACACTCCTCGTCAGCTGTGAAGATGAGTGGATTTCAGAGTTAAATACTGTTTGCTTTTTGTTTAGGTACTGACAGTGTGATTTCATCAACTATGTATTTGTCTACAGCCTTTACATGAGTAATAGATACCAAACGGCGAGCCTTGCTGTCCCTGTGTCCCTGCTGGCCAGTCCACACTCAGTGTGCAGCAAAGTGCTGAGAATGTTTTGCACATTGGTGGTTCAAAAGAAAGAAAGACAAAGTTCTACAAAAGATTTCCTTGACCTCAAAGCTTAGTGAATCTACTAAGGAGCCAGATCCAACATGGGATCGGGATATCTGACCCCAACCCCAATGACCAGATCTGTGTTTTGTCTTCATGTGGTTGGTCATGTATAAATGCCAAAAAACATGTGTCCTCTACACAAAGCTAAAACTGTTTGAACAACTGAATGGGAGTATGTGTTCTGGTGTGGTCACTAATGTAAAACCTTTTATCCAAAGCAAAGATTTCTTTAGGATTCAGTAAAGTTTGAAAGACTTCTGTTCCTAATGTATCCTCTCATTCAGTTTTGATGTTTTAACACCCCTGCTCCCCCTCACACTTCTTCCCAGGGTTCCTTGCTGGTAGGAAGCTTGTACGCCTCAGTGGCGGGAATGTCCCCTTTAGGCTCAGTCCGGCTGCCAGCTGGCTGCAGGGCTGGAAACCTCTGCAGCTTTCTGGATCAGAATGCCTCCATGCTGGTAAAACACCATCATCCCAACCACTAGCCTTGGTTGAAATGTGTCGTCTTTCTTCCTCCCAGCACATGTATGACAGTGGTGTGTGCAGCAGAGCATAGGACGCATGTGCAACTCACACCTTTTCCTCACAGCTTCTGGTGTTTTTTCAGAGTTTAAAATATCAGTATGTGCAACGTCACCAAAAAGTTGATTTTGGCTGATACTTGTATAGTTGTGTTTCTACGATATATCATACAGATGCAGCTTTGTCAGTGCCTGTTGTGTTACTAAGTGCTCGGTGTCTGCTCTCACTTAAGGAGAGAAGCAAAAATGACTTTGACTCAAATGTAGAAATGTGTAATATTAAATAGAGCCAACTGATAAAGGATTTTGTAGAGGCTTAAAAAAATCTGATGACAATATATATGGGGGGTTAGCGTTCATTCTGAAACGTCACTGTGTCTCAGCTTTACATTTTTGAGACAGAGTACCAGTAAAATGTCATTGATGAAAATCAGATGTGTTTCCAGTGCACCGACTAACATGCAAGTCTCCGATATATTATGTTGTCTAAGCAAAGTGAGTCTAATGCTAATGTTAGTTGCTCATTAGCTGTCTTCCACTGATTTTGTGTCTGACTAATTTAGCAAGCAATTCACTGCAGGCACGTATTTTATAGCAGCTAAAAGTACTACACTGTCAGGGGAGAGAACAGCAGGACTTTGGCTCATTTATTCCCTAGAAATCACAAATACAGTAAATGTAAAATCAGTGTTTTGATGAATGGATGCCGGTTTTGTTTGTATTTTATATGCATTTACAGTGTTCTCATACTGTTCCAGTGCTCGGGTGGTGGTAATACTGGTTAGGTGGCTAATGCATTAGCAAAAAATGCAAGCATGCATGTCAAGACTGCAGGTTTACAAAAAAATCAACTTCAGCGTGCGACAGCACTTTGTTTAGGAAACTTTTGCAGGGTATCTCTAATTTGTCTCACTACAGGAGGTGGATTCATAAAGCAAAAGTTTGACATTATGGGAAACTTGTTTTCATTTTTCATATTTGTTAAACAGCTGACCTGCCTCAGTCCGACACCCACCAGCTCCTCTAAAGCTCACTGTTGTGTCCAAACTGTAAAAACGATGCTATATTTAAAGTAAAATGTTGTATAACAAATGTCCAGAGATGTAACTGTAGCAGTGAGAGCAGCGCGCTTGTCCTTAGCTCACACTAACACATTCCTTTCAGTTTCAGGCTGGCTGACGTCCCACGGGGACCCTCTGTTTCATAGCACAGGACTGTACAACATGCATGCTTGGTCTCAGACCCTGAGAGAAATGTGTGTTCTGTTCTGTCTTGCTGTGAGTTTTCTGCGGTACTTTTGCTTTTAGCACATTTCCTTCTCAGCAGTAACAAAGGCAGCCCTTTGTACATGGTGATCTCGCCGTTCTGTTCAGCTTGTTGGCTTTAATGTGGCGGTTGGGGGGTATCTCGGTGCAGGGCAGAGTTAGGAGCCTTTGGGTTTGCCTACAGACTACACATATTTTTAAATAAACTTTGTTCCCTTTAGACAGTATCTTTTAGTCTTTTTTAACAAAGTTTTAATGTGTGCGTGCTTGCGTACAGCAGGGCTGGTCAGCAGGCACACAGCAGATCCTCATACCATCTACATGGCAGCAGATGCCAGGCATGGCCATCCATAACCCTGGGCAGGCCGTGGTGCCTGACTCACCCATGGGAGGCCCCATCTCTGACAGTCACCAAGCGTCGGGCTGGAGGTGAGCACAGTCACATGGAGCTCTGTGTCTTAATGCTGCATTTAAAGGCCCAGCTTCATGTCATTCTATTATTAAAGTATAATGGGGCGATTGTGGTCAGTCATACGGAAGTGATGCACTTTAAATCTAAAGTACAGGTTTTATTCTTCCTTACAATAGGGGTCGTCGTGGCAGCCAGTATGATGGCGCCAGCCAGCAGGACTCTGGTGGTGGCTGTCACGCTGCCTCCCAGAGCCACAACTTGGGGGTCACTCATTCAAGATCCCAACAGGGCAAGAGGTCAAAGGCTCGACATGCTGAGAGCAGAGCCAGGTATCCTGTCAGACTGTCACGCACTCACGTTGTCTACATGTTTTTGGGGGGTGGGTCGACCATAAATTGTATTGTTTGTGGTTTGACCCCTGGTTTCTGAGTCAGTAGTTTTAAAGATTAAAATAAAAATTCATCTCCAGATAATGTTTGGAATAATTTTAAATTGCTTTGAACAGAAATACTGTATCTGCCAAATGACTGTAATGGAATGTGTGGTCCCTTTAGTTGCTCTAGAGATGTGCATCTCATTTTATGTTAAGGAAACAGAAATCATTTATTAAGATACAAAAATTTGGAGTGAGTTTAAGCTGTAAAGAAAATGAAATGCAGCATAAATGAGGCGGAAAGCCACATCTGTTGCCCTCTGTGTGCATCTTCTCCTCAACTTATCGCCTCAAATTTTCAAATAGATTTTGTATTTGGAATAAGGGGATGAGAATAAGGCATTGTTTCCCCTCCAGGCCCGTGTCGTCAGTGCATTCTGCCACCACTGTGGTCTGCAGCACTTCTGCTTTTGCTGGGGACCAGTCTCAGCCCATCATCATCTCTGACACACCTAGTCCTGCCATCAGCATCATCACCATCCACAGTGACTCGGAGGATGAAGATGATGCAAAGTTCCCTGCTGCCTGGTGAAGCTCTTTTGCAGTCTGTAGAATTATTTTAGTGAAAACAAGAGCAGTTAAAATGTTAACTGGCTGCTTTTTTTTTCTACCACAGCTCTGGAACAAGCCAGAGGACCAACGTGATCAGCTGTGTGACGGTACACGACTCCCATGACTCCGACTCCTCTACCAGCAGCCCTTTGACCCCCAAGAAAGCATCACAGTCCACCAAGGCACTGGCCATCATCATGCCCTCTGTGAAGAGCCAGGCTGGAGAAAGCACAACCCACAAAACTCCAGCTGCTCCAGGTCCTTGAGGGCAGATATTCAGCTATCAGTGTTTTTCTTATGCTGTAATCTCTGTACCTCATTTTTTAAAATGACTAAATGTGTCACATGAGCACTAATCCATAGCGCTGACATCAATACTCTTCTTTGTGGTCACAGTATTCTGTGTGGTTTTGCACTAGTAGATCAAGCTACAAATAATTCTGGAAAGTCCAAGAAGGGGTCCACGGTGCAGGCCAGTCGGCCGGGAGATTCCAACTCTAATCGCCATCAGCGGGCAGCATCCAGCAGATCTCAGCCTCTGAATCTGAGTCAGGTAACAGCTTTCCAAGGTCGCTCATTTCTGTTTGATTCTGTCCCAATACCAACACTTATGTGACATTTCCAGTGCCCACGTGCTCATTAATACTGTAAGAGTATAGAGGTTAAACTGAACACGTGGATATGCTGGGGTTACCCCTAGAGTAAATACTGTGGCTCAGTGGAGTTCAGGGGCTTGGCTGGTTTTATTTAATTTGTTCATAAACAGATAAGTGGGATCAAACATGCAGTATTACAGTTACTAGTTGTACAGTAGGAAAGAAGGATCTGTGATAATTCACGCAGTTTGAGTGTCACTGAGGGAGCTGCCCAGTGTTGTCATGCATGGGGTGGGAGTCCTTCTCTAGCAGGGATGATAGTTTGGCAAACATCCTCCTGTCACCCACCACCTGCACTGGGTCGAGGGGTCTTCCAAGGACAGAGCTGGCCCTCTTGACCAGTTTGTCTAGTCGTTTCCTATCTGCGGTCATGATGCTGCTGCCCCAGCAGACCACTCTGTAGAAGACGGCTGATGTCACCACTGTGTCGAAGAAGGTCCTACTTATAAGAGTCCTCTCTCTCAGTGCCCATTCCCTGGATGTTCACTGATGTCAGAGGGGGTGTCTGCATCTGTGGAAGTCCACCACCAGCTCTTTGGTCGTCCCTCATTGATCTGGAGGCGTTTCCACAGACACCAGGTCCACAAAGTCCTGGATCAGCTCCCTGTCATCCTCATGTGTGATGAGGCCTACAATCGCAGAGTCATCAGAGAATTTTGAAAGTGTTAGTTCAGTGAGCTGTACGTGAAGCCAGCAGCGTACAGGGTGAAGAGAAACGGTGCCAGGATGGTTTACCTGCAGGGCCACTGTGCTGCAAGCACTCACACCAGGTAGTAAGGGCTCTTTCCTACGCTATGCAATCCACAAACTCTTCCAAAATTTTGTAACGCGACGCAAGCACAAGTGTTATTTCACAATTTCCGATTGGGGTGCCAATGCAAATACTGTCACTCTACTCTTGAAGTCTTTGTTACGGTTCCAAAAAAAAACGGGCTGTATGAAGTTGTTCGTATTCGACATCTTTATGATATGGCAAACGCACGCCTCTTCTTTTCTTTTACTGGCGGCGATTTAGCCAAAGAAAAATGATGCACCCTGCTTGGGCAGCAACCGGATAAATCATGTGAGCTGACGTCTTAGCAGACGAGTGGCCTTTGGTCGTAATCAGGGAAGCCACTCCTTATGTACATAGATACTTCTGTGATCCTTGTGTTTACAGTTGTGTTTCTGTAGTTTTCGTGGAGTCTGAAACAGCCCTAACTGTGTGTATATTGTCTTCATGCAGTGTGTCTCTCAGCACTGGAACAAGGAACAGGCTGCTCTCCAGCCTGCCTCGTCTTAAGACTGGGTGTGGTTGAAATGTCGCTCATATAAAAATATTACTGTAGTCATCTTCATCTTTATACACACTTGGCTATAACCTGGCAGCGTGTGAAGTGTGGGTACTAGGATACACCCTCTGTCTGCAGAGCCCAGCATTCTCTGTTGTTTCAGGTGCAGCAGTCAGTGATGTTGTCACCATCCCATGACCAAACAGGAAGCAGTAGCTCCCTGAGGCGGCAGCCTACATATCCTCCTTCCGTCTCCTCCCAGTCATCATTCCGGCTTCACGAGAACACTCTCTTTGGCTCCACCCCCAGCCTGTACGCCTACCCAGCATCTGCTGCCTTGGCCTCTGTATCCCAAGCTGTGGACCAATTGCAAGGGGGCTCATCCCGCCACGGCAGAGCAAGCGGGACCTACTCCTCCCTGGCGCTGCTCCAGAAGAGCAGCAGCTTAGCCCTGGGAGGGTCTGCTGCAGGACAGTACGGCAACCACCCCCAACAGCAGCATCATCAGCTGGGAGGGCAACCTTTCCACCGCTCCAGCGCTACCTACCAGCGAAAACTCAACCAGTACCCCTACCTGTAAAGACTGAGTGAGACAGAAGCTCTGCATGAAGACCAAATGGAGACCGAGACTAGAGAGGAGCACAAGCTCATCACAGACGGCTGTGAGAACCAACTTTTTTCTTTCCTTTACTGTCCGGTTATTGTTTTTAGAGATTTCCCTCATTATTGTGGATATATAAATAATGGTGACATATTTATATTTTAACCATGGTCAGTTTCTTTTTTAAATCGGTTTATACTTTGGGGTTTGTGTTAGATAACAGTATGTGGCAAACGGTGCAGTCTGGAAGTGTTGGATCTGTATTCCAGCACGTTTACGTCTATATCATAACTGTGAGAATTAGAACATAAATTGTTGTATTACTTAAAAGACTGCAATATTAAATGAGTTCTTAATGTGTAAAACCCCAAATGTTGCGTAGAGGTGAACCTGGAGCTTGACTAACTGTTATGCTGCTCTATTACTACATAATTGTTTGCATTTACATGCAGAATACAGTCGCCTTACTTGCTTAGGCTAATTTCTTTTGTCATTTTAAATGTTGTCAGCATGTTTTAAGTTAGATTAATGTTTTTTTATGACTGTACTGTGTTTGTGTGTGTGTGTATCTGTTCTACAAAAGCAAATGGAGGACGTAAGCTATGTACTGTACTACAGAATGATGTGTCACTGTGCTCTTCAAAATGTTTTCTATGTTAATTCTGTTTAGTACTGGCCATAGGCTTCATTATATTTCTGTGATAACATGTTAACTGATGCGGTCTATGTCAGCGTAGGGTGTGGTGTTCAGAGGGGTAGTCGTGTTTTTGCATGTTGATGGTTTTGAAGTTAAGGCAGCATGGAGTAGCGTTCAGGAGTGCTTAGGACACCGTCGTTGCTCACAGAAGGATCAATAATGTCATGTTTAATTTGTGCAACAAACACGTTGATGATACTGGGAACATGTAAAAGCTTGTCCTGTGTGGTCCATTAAATAAAGTGTGCATATAAAATGTGACTATCACACTTAATCTTGCAAAAGTTGAAGCCATTAAGAAGACTGTTGTAAACTCCACAGTAATGCATCTGAATTGTGCATAATCAAATATGACAGATGATTTATAAATACGAGTTGATGTTCGATATGTTGCTGCTTGTAAGCAGGTCATCGGTTTGGTGAAGCGATGGTTGTTTTTACACTCTGCTCCTGTATGTTGTGAAGTGTTACAGCGAACACACCAGAAACCTTAACCCGAATACGTGCAATAAAACCTTTTCAAAACAGAACCGTGACTGTTTTCCCGATTAAAACTCAACCATCTTTTAAACTAATCTCACATACACCCAAATAACATCCAAGAGATTCAGTGTAGGGCTATAACTAAAGCTTTAAGTACTGATGAATCTTTCAATAAAAGCTAATTTCTCAGTTATTCAGATCAACAATTCAAATTCCAACGATAGTGTTTGACTTATAAGCAAAAACGTTAAATGTCGCAGACGCCTATTATACATTTTTCATTACTGTTTTACCAGCATTAGATGAAATAGTCTTTTTCAGTACTGAGAATGTCAACAGGAGTGATACCAAAAAAAACGACTTCAGAGAATTCACACAATTTTATTTACCACTGAATTAACAGAAAATAGTAAACAAACATGTTTGGCAAATTATTTGGTGGTAACTAAGTATATTCAGAAGTAGTCTATTAATGCATTCACATAAAAAATCATGACATAGCTCCTTACATGATGTCACAATAGCTACTTTTAACAATCAAAAGCATCAATATCGCTGCCATCAGTCCTCCCTGGCCCTGGTGTCACTTGGAATCAAAGCTAAACTCAATTCTGGTATCACACACCTTAATGAAAACTTCCTTTGTTACAGCCCTTAAAAATACCTAAGAAGCTAAAGAAATCGATGTGCTTCTCACCCGACAAATATTTACCAGTATGTTTGCAATACACTGTATAAAGTTGTCACATTCTTGTATGATAAATCTTATAATCCACTCAGGACCAAGGACACTGTAGCAGGATGTCAACACTCCACAGGTTATTGAGGAATTCCACCGTTTGTTCATGCATTTAAAACAACAAACAGGTGGGATTGTGTGGATTAACCAAAGAGACATCTAAATTTAATGGGTAACTGACGAAGACTGAACGTGCAAAAATACAGTACAAACTAGATTTGTTGTATGGAGAGTGATTTTTAAAGTTTTATTTCTATTTTTAACCAACCATATATACCCTGTTTATAAGGAAAGACGGATACTATCAGACACCTTCTGAATTTGGGGAAACAAAAGTGGTAGCAGGATGTCTGTGCATCACCAATAAGCTATGATATCCTAGAGTTGTTACTTTCAGCAGCATTATAATGATTTTTTTTTGTTTTTCTCTGACAGAAGCTTTGCTATGCGATAATGAATATTTACACAGTTCTCTCTCACACACACACACACACACACACACACACACACACACACACACACACACGCCACCTAAAACACACCAGCTAAAAATAACCTGCAGTACAAACAATTCACCTAGCTGGGCAGTCTCTCTCACCACTGCATCTGAAAATCTATTTGGGAGGGTCAAATTCCTCATATACACACATTTCACAATAACATAAATTTAGAGCAGATGAGCATCTCATCATTTAAAAGTCAAAGTCCAGTGGCACACCGAAGGCAGACCAAGTTAACTGATGGCTGGTAGACAGTCCAGGGCTAAAATAAAGGGGGTACTAACTGGGGTCAGCAGTGAAAAAGGCTGCTGAGGCTAGGCTTTAAACACAATTGCACAGTTGTAGCAGTGCTCCATCAGCTCACTTCCTGAGCAGACAGAGGGGAAGGATCGATTTGTCCTCAGAACTCCTCGTGAACATTTCTGGCATAATCCATGAGCTTGCTGCCTGTGAAGTATTCGCTGTACTTGAGTATCTCATCCACCTCCAAATGGTGATTCTGATTTTCATCTGCGACGGCAATCATCTGCTTGGCTTCATTCAGAGCATTGTGCTCATTCATTGGGTCCATGTATTCCTGCACACCATGCCAGAAAACGAGAATTTAATTATGGATCTGTGATTTCTGGATGACTGCCAGAGATGTTATGCAATACCTGGATATCCATTAAGCGCATGTGCACAAGGTCAAGACCTTATACCAACAAAGTCACGGGACCTGGGTTACGCAAGCATGTCATGCATATGGCATTTCTATCCTCTGGGGCATGAAAGGAAGACTCACAGGTGACCATGTTGAACATGGGAGTGTCAGGCTCTTGGGGGACTAAGCATGAGCTAGGGGGGCTAAGAGAGGCAGCTCGCCTGTGGTGGTCAGTGTAGTTCAGCAAACGTTTGTCTGACCCTATTCACCGCTCCAGGGCTTGTTGTGCTGTCGGGCCAAATATCTGACCCAGAATGACAGGCAAAAAAAATAAAATAAATAAATAAATAAATGAACGAATATTTCATGCAACTATAGTTTTGTCTTTAAAAACAAAGAACCACTGTTTTCTCTTGCTTTTACCGGCACCTGGAAAATAACATGATAATATGATCAGTATATCATGTCTGTCAGACAAAGTTGAAAGTCACCAGCTATGCAGCCTCTGCTGGAACAAATGTAGCTATAACTGTATGATTACAAGGCTACTATCATAGATGGTAGCTAACGTCAAGCTGGTAATCTGCACCGTTAGGTGAGAAAAGTAGATGACTGATGGGTGTCAGGCTCATTTATCATGTTGCTTACATCACCCAGGTCACATGTGACTTTGGTTGGTATAAGGTCTCAAGCTTTTGCGATTGCGTGTGACGGTGTTACACACCATCTCTGGCGGTCAGAGACAATGAAACAGAAGAAGAAAAGGAAAATAAATGTATGAAAATGCCTGACTGGACAAAATTGAAAAGAACTCATGGTGCGTTATGTTAACCAAGGTAGAACACTGAATACACAGTACTCTAGGGTTATGGTTACTGACCAGAAACATCAAACCCAACTAATATAAAACTATGACTCTTTAAAAAAGGGACCAATCAACCTTTTTTTCTTTCATTACGTACCTCCAGTTCCTCCATGGTGACAATGCCATCACGGTCTGCATCAATGACTTCCTCAAACTCCTTCTTCCTCTCTCGAACCCAGTCATCGTCAATGTCCTGAGCCTGCTGGTTCTCCACGGTGCCCACGGGTAAAGAGATGAACTCTGACAGGGTCAGTTTCTTATCACCATTCTGATCTGGAAGCAAAGCACAATAAACATCTGATTCATGTTGTGTATTTGTTATAGACATGTTCATAATGGCCTCATCACAGAACCATGCATACTCAAGTACACATACAGTAGAACAACATTTAGCAGATGCAGACATTGAGTCGCGCCTTGTACCTAAGTCGTGTACGATCTCCTTGACCATGTATCTGAGCATGCCTCTGCTATGCTCAGGGTGAAGGAACGACAGGAACTCCTGCTCATTCAGCAGTTGGTCACCGGGGGGGTTGTCAGCCTGGAACCAGCGGTCTTTCAGGCTTTCCAAAACCTCCTGAGCTGCAATGACAAAAGAAGAAAACTCAAATCAGCTTTGCTGTTTACTAAACAGATGTTAGTGAATATTCTTTAAAAGACACAATCCATGTAGATCTACACTTACTTTCATCATCCAGTTTCAGATCTTCATTATTCTTTATTTTCTCTGCAATTTCTTTTTCATTGAAGCCTTTGCTGGCTAGAAATTTCACTCGGTATTCATCCCATGTCACATGACCTGCAGACAGAGCATGAATTTAGGGTGTGATTCTCACTCAACAGGGAATATTTTTAGTCTAGGTCACTGAGTTACACTATGGCCTACGCTGGCCATAAGTCTGACAGGATTTGCATGAGGTAGTGTGTTTAGAATCACAAGTGGACGCGACTTTCAGCATGTTCTCTCTTACCGTCGCCATCTGGGTCCACAGCACGGAAACTGTTCTTGTTTTCCTGCATGGCTTCCTGGAAGTGCTCCTCCGTCTTCTCCATGATCCACCGCTGCATCTCTTTGGCGCTCACACTCCTGTCCTTGTTGAAGTCAACTCTGTGAAAGGGTCATTAAGAAAAGAAATTAGTTTCTAATTTAGCTCCAGTTATTGAACATTAGCATTGCCACTGCTCCATTAAATTGCTAATTATATACAATGAGCCGTTATGACCCAAATGATGTGGAATCTGTCTGGGCTTGTGTCCAATGCAATATTTAAACCACCAAGCACTTCAATTTAAACATTTTTACCATTTAAGGTAAAATGGGTAGAGCTGAAACAACTGGCTTATGACGTTTTAAATCAAAACTGAGCCAACATTACATTGGCAGATTACTTGCAGCTTTTCCACTGTACTGATTTAACTGCTCCTCTCTGACTTATGTGAAAGCAAAGTAAGTAAGTATCCTTGGACTTTGGACAGTGGCCACATAAAACAAACACTGGTGAATAACAGGGCTTTTAGAAAATGTTTTCACCATTCTCTGACTTTTTATAGCTCAAACAATAATTGATTAATCAATGAAATAACTAATTTCAAGCCAGTTTTTTTTTTTAGAGGTTCCAAGGGCCAGATATAAACGCTGGGGTGATCGTGCTTTTACTGCTGCAGCCCCTAAATTGTGGAAGCACCTCAGTACTTTTAAATCATTGCTTAAAACATATTTATTTGGCTTGGCTTTTAATACACAGTAGGGCCTGATGCATTCCATTTAATTTTAATGTTAACCGTGTGTCAGTGTTATTGTGCCATTTTATTTTTATTTGCACTGATCTTATTTACTCTATTTGAGTCCTTTATTGTGATTCTATTCTGCTATGTAAAGTACTTTGGTCAGCTGGATGTTTTTAAAGTGCTATATAAATACATTTGATTGATTGATTGATAAAGGGGGAAATTTGTCAGGTCAGAGAGGTGGCTTATTTTAAGAATGTAGTGACCTTTTCTGCTATCAACATGCCCAATTATAATAATGGCATCTTGCCTTGTAGCTGAATATTATACAAAGAAAAACAAGCATAGCTTGTTGTTTTCCTTCTTTCCAGGTCCACTTACAGTGTGTATTGCCTATTTTTATTCTTCTTATTTCAACTTCTCATAATAAAACTAGTTACCACAGAACAAGATATCAAGGAATGAAAAGCCTCTTACTTTTTGAAAATTTCAATAAGCTTTTTCCTGTTTCTCCTCGGCTCAGAGTCTTCATCAAACTCCTCCATCTCCTTCCCCAAGAAAACTTCCTGATGGAAGTCCTTGTTGAGGTGCCCGTCCATCTCCATCTTCAACCCATTCAGGTGGTCAGGTGGAAGAATCTCATTGTCGTCCTTGTTGGCTGGAGCCTTGTCTTTGGCGGCTGACATGTTGGCTGGCCGCGCATGCACATCCATGGTGTGGAGCAGGATACAGAAAAGCAGAGACACAGCCTGGGGGTTTCTGCACCACCGTCTCTTGCAAACAGCCATGACTGCCTACGGTGGAGTGAAGGTAAATATAAAAGCACATAATTAGTTCTATGAAGTAACTCTTAAAATAAATATATCAGCCAAACTTGGCTAAGACAAACACAAAATAACTTTGACATAAGCCATCAAGCAGGCTAGTACAGTACATTGTTGTCTCAACTTCAATGCGTTGTTCATGTGTCACCGGAATTTTCAATATTGAAATTTAACTTCAAATATGCGGAAGCGATATTTGCGATTTACAAATATTGTGGATAAATGCCTTTAATATCCAGGAATACACAAAAATAGCCAATCAAAAACTAAAAAAAAAAAACCTAGCCTGTTAATTTACCTTTGTCACGTCGTTTAAATTACTTTACAATGTAGTTATGCAAGTGGCAAAAACGGGCTAATGAACACATTATGCCTAACGTCAGGAGTTGATGGTATAACGTTAAACACTGTAAATATAAGCGATAAATACTCACAGAAAACAACAAACCTGTCAAGTATGCTGAAACGACACCGTGGGCAAATTAAAAACGCTTTGTTAGAATGACAGATACCAGGCTGCAGTTTAGGTAACAACAAGCTAATGTTAGCACACAAATATACATACGACTTCCTAGTGAAACAGACCTGAGGATAGGTAGTCTTAGTCAGGCAAGCTGTCAGACTCCAGTTCCTGTACACGTGGCTCTTCCAACAAACCACAACCCAAAATGTGGGACGGCTCAGCCTAAAGCGACACTAGATAGATAAGAGTCTGCTGACAAGTCCGTACCAATGTTCCAGCTGCGTTTGCGTTAATTCACTCCATCTGGGCCGGTGGCTTGGCTAATCGCTATAACCTTGACGTCATAACTTACGTTTCCCTAGCCACATTCTCACGTATCACTTCCGGTTATGCTTTCAAAGTAAAACCCTTGATGGTGAAGGATTGAAAACTAGTGATGGTTGACACAGTATTCAAAAAAATGGTTAATTACTCGAGGCTTCAATGACACAGTGCTCGACATCTAGTGGTCAGGAAATTGAAGTGCAGTCAAGACGTGTCATTGGTTCATGGATTGGGAATTTTATTCGCCATGCACATTCCTGTTCGACTAAAATACATGGTTGTATGGTTTCAAGCTGACACAATAAAGTATAAAATAAACATGAACTCATGTTGAAGACCATGTTTTTTATGTGGAATGTCTGGTTGTAACCCTATATACTCTTCACTTGTATTTTGTTTTATGAAACATTTGAATGGTGCTGCTACATTCATGAGATGTGGTATACCAATTCAGGACAGATGTCATTTTCACATGGGACTGGTGCAAATACAGATTATATTATGGGGTTCAGCAAAAAAAATGCCCCCATGCATCATGTCGCTGCCACCAGACCCCTCCCCAATAGTCGACGTAGGTCGTCACAGTATGTTTTGGGGCTCATTGGTAAAGAGGTTCATGGGTATGTGGGTACAGAGTGTGTGGTTGTGTAACTGTTAACTGTTATCGGGATTGGATTGGCGGAACCTTTGACGGACTGCTGTTTCCTGCCTCTGCGGTAAACCGTACTCGTTTCCTGTTTTCTGTACCTGCACTGCGTTGTGCTTGCTTCCAGATTGTTTAGGAATTAAACTCACTATTTTCTAGGTCCATCTGAATTTTTGAGTGACAACATACGTTTGCACCACTTAAAACACTTGTTTTGCAGAAGTTCTTGCTAACTACCAAATTTAACTAGCTACTTTAGGTCGGCTAGTTTAGAAGCTAGCTAAGCTAGTAGCTTAATTGAGAGCAATGGCTTCCCCCTCTTCCTCTCCTCCTTTCTCTTGCTCAGAGTGTCGCATGTTCAGTTATTCCTCTGTCTCCTTTAGCGATAATGGTACTTGTAATAAATGTCAGATGCTAGCAGCATTGGAGGCGAGGCTCACAGACTTAGAAGCACGGCTCCACACCATGGAGAATAGGCCAGCTAGCTATGCCCATGTAGCCAGTGTGGAGCCTCCTAGACATAGCTCAGCCCAAGCTAGCTGCCCCCCAGAGCTTCCCGAGCAGCCGGGATCTCAGACAGGTGGCTGGGTGACAGTTCGCAAGAGTCGTAGCTCCAAACAAATGCCCACGGAGCATCACCTGCCTGTTCACGTTTCAAAT